TCATTAATTTTAAAAATGTTTTCCTCCTCGTCATCATTAACTATGTTGAAATTACTATACGTATTTTCTTGCTGCAGAGAGTTCAATATTTCTTCTTTTTTCTTTTTTATTGTAGCTTTTTGAATCTTAGCAGTTTTTAGATGCATTATTATTGCATTTGTAACTTCTTTTGGTACCCTTGAATAAGTTTCAACTTGTCCTATGACATGATTGACATGTTCTTTCAACCTTGTAATGCCACCATGCATTACTTTTCCACAATAATTGCATCTTGCAATTTTTTTATTCCTACCCACGAGTTTACCATGTTCCCAACCAATATCCTTGCTCGTCATTGTAACTATTACACATATCAATATAAATGATTAATTCATCACAAAATAATTAAAAACATATGAAAAAAATACAACAAGTAGTTTAAGATATTTTATAACAGTAATAATTTATTTCTATTATATTAGTAAGTTAAAAATCTTATCTATAATGTAAACCCGCTACAATGATCATTTGTTCATTTATTAAAAGAACTTCAAAATTTTAAATGTTTATTAAAATTATTACTGGATTTTAGAAAATTATTCAAATAGCTGGACAGTTATGATTATAAGTATAATTAATTACTATTATAGCTAAAGTCAATAAAGATGAAACTTCTACTAATAGTTATTTCGTAAAATTAATTACTAGCAGGAAATTTTATATTAAAAGATATAACAGTTATTTTAATATTTTCACTAAATATCAAATGAATTTGGACTAATTTATTATGTACTTTGAATTATATGTGAGACAAGTGTTAAACTTGTGTTTGGCCCAAAATAAATTCCAACAACACAAATTAGGCAAATAAATCTAAATTTCTAAATTTTATTTTAGACACACTCATAATTAATCCAACCTTGGCCCATTACATAAAGGTTATAATTAATCCAAATATGTTTCTAATTCATACCTACTAATAAGTATAGATAATTAAAGAAATAAATTCATACCGACTGACCCACGAGAAAAGCCCTTATTTCAAAAGAAAGACCAAGGAAGGGCAATGAAAGGGCCACTGCTACAACTAAAACTGACGACTAGCTGTTTTCGATAGGAAAGAGAAGCTTGATCGGTAATCACAAATTCCAGTTCTCTGAGTTGATTCCTACTATTCTAGGTACTATCTTGCTTCCCTAAGAGGTCCAAATAAGAAAAGAGATGAGAGAAAGTATTGCCAAATTTTACCTCTTCTCCATTGAAGTTTTGAGCATCTTCTCCTCGATCTGCGCCTCCTTCTCTCACTTTTTCTGTCACCTTGGATGGCTGCCGCTTTTGAAAGAAAAGTTAGAAGTGATAACTTTTGAAAGTGAAGTGATAACTTTTGAAAGTAAAGTAAAGTGATATATTATTGGTATGTTCATGTATCAAGTATATATGAGGTACATGTATACTTGATACATGAACAAAGTTGGAATAATATTACGTCATCTTCTCATATGATCAGTACTTTGACAAATTTGTTTTTATTTCCTAGTGAATGATTTCGATATTGACTTCTCCTTCTCGCGTGTTAGGACCTAGTAGTAATTGTTACTCCAATAGCCCCGGATTTCACTTTTTTTATCCTTTTTTTAAAGGTTTTTTGTTGGATTCGAGTTGATTCAGGATGGCTCAAAATGACTTGGTGTAACTCAACCATTTCAATCCTTTACGGTGACGTCTCGGCCAATTTCTCGGCGAGTCAAGTATCTCGAAATTGTATCATCCCAGTATCGTATCGAGAAGGCTCGAGACGGTGACGATTCGGCCAAGTCTTTAAAACATGGTTCTAGGAGAAGCACTGGAATATTTATTTCCTATTTATGTTCGTGACATATAATTCTACCAAACTTGCAATTTGTATGCATGTTCATGTGGTTATCATAAGTCATAAAGCATGGCAATTTAGATGATGAATGAAGCCAAAACTGTTTTTGAAACTATGGCCTCAAAACATACAGGTAACAAAACTCACTAATGATTCTCTGTGGTTCTCTTTTTTGGTTTCTACGTTTCATGAAAGTGATAAGTCGTATTTTATCTCCAAAATGTGTGTTAATTTGGTTTATCTGAAGATGAAGACAATTGCGCAAGGCCACTTACTAAGAAAGGAGAGAACTTCAAGAGTTGCAGGTATATATATTTATGTTATCTGCAAACCAGATTGCGTCTGCGATCGGTGGAGTTGGTGGTGAACTGTGGCTATTTGATATAAAATGAGTAAGAATCACATTCCTGGTACATCATAAAATCTTAGTTATTTGCAAGGAGAAGAGATCACATACCGCCAAGAATTGTTGTAAACTAAGTCGCAGAACCAACAAATCCCAGTACATATTTTTCATGCACTGACTTCGATCATATCAACTAAATGAGAATCCACCATGTGGCACATAATAGTTATATGGACATGACAATATAAGATTATGCAAGTAATAATTAAAATTGATAGAAAGTGATGTATCACGATGCAAAAAAACGGATGTAACTATTATATATATTGCACGGTTTATAAATGAATGCATAATTAAATGCAAAGGTATTTTCATTCTCTTTTAGTCAATATAATTACTTTCAACAACAAAAATAAAACAGAAAATGGACACTTTGTTACACTTTTATATGCATCGAAGGGAACAGTTCTACACATAATTATCGCAATTGTGAAAATAAACTCCTGTTCGCTAAAAAACTCGCCATCCAAATTGAAAGTTTCACAGAGCTACGAAGAAGGAGTGTCTGGCAATCCAAATGGGTTCTAAAAACAACTGCTGTCCGGATGGACAATGGTTGGAGAATTCTCTGAACCCAAAGTCCAAATCCCATAATCACTGGAGAAAATTGTAATGATCATGCTCGTAAAACATATTAGTATCTCACTAGTGCTATTATTCATCGAGTTGGGACATGTTCGACAGACAGGACAAGAAGGCGTGTCACGGAAGAACATGGAAGCTATGCTTGCAAATTGGTAGCAATCTGCACTCTTCACCTACTACGAAGCTCTCCAAGAACACAGCACATTTCCTTATTGGGGACTTCTTCAATTCCTTGTCCTGAAAACAAGGCAGTTTCTTTAAATCATCGCTAGACATGCTAGCGCATTCTTTGCATGTTGTGCTGCTATACCTTGGATTGTGATAGCCGCCGCACTATGAATCTTATTAGTCCCCAGAAGAATTTTCTGCATCACATCTTCGAAGAATGCAGACGTGAATGGTTATAATGAAAATGATACCCATGCAACCTAAACCTGCCGAGATTAATAGCTGCTGGTACCACAAATTTATCTAGTTCGAATGAAATTGCTCAAATTTGTGTTCTTCCTCAAGCAGAATATGTCAAGTTGGTAGAATTGAGGAAGCCCAGAAAATTGTATTTGGTATCTGGAAAATTCATAAGCTTCTGCAAGAGATGAAATTTTTTTTTTGGGAGGGGGGGGGTGGTGGGGGACCAAATTGTTCTAAATTAACTTATTACTGAATCAACAAGTCCCAGTCCATATTTATCATGAATTCACTGAGCAACCATGCATATCGAATAAATGACAATATCTCGAAATCAAAATTCTACATTGCGTTGTTCCTGGAAGCATGCTTTGGCCATACCAAAAGGCAAAAGTAAAAACAAATTTAGAAAAGAAAAGAAAAAAAAAGAAGGCAGCATGGTTTTGTTGCATAGTTTTGTGCTTGTTAAAGATTCCGTAATGCTCCATGGGATTGTTTGTTGCATGAATCTTGCTTGACCCGTCCTCTTATCTTTAATTTATGATGCATGAGAAAAACATGGGGCCTGCATCTGAAAACAAATACTAGTACATTTCATAGTTTTCATCTCTTGATGTTGACATTTACAGGGAATTAGGGATATCCGATACCAACGTAAGACGATATATAAGAAGAGAATGATAAGAGAACATTGCAATTTACAAGAGAAGGCGCAGGTTGGTCAAGTTAAGCTATAGCTAATCAATGTAATGCGTGCAAGTGTAAAACCAACGCTCTCTTCTTTGCTTCAATTCTAGAGACCAATTAACTACGTACATGTGTTACTTATGACCTAGTAGAATGCATTACATTGTCGTATAAGTAGTTTTGGTTATCTATATGTTGATGCTAGAGCTAGTTAGTCTAAAATTCATGTATAGGATCCGAAAAAAAAAAATCAGACTATTTCAACATAAAATCTAAAGGCTTGACTGAAATGTTCAAGTATGTTTAATGATTAGGTACTGCTACAATGATTACGTACATGTATCTATTATTGTCAGTGTATAATTTTTTTTTTGTTTCTGTTGACACGCTTAAATTATGTCATATAACATGAACTCAAATTTAAAATTCAAATAATATACGTACAACATATATCCATAAAATGTTGTATTTGTTAAAAAAAAATCAATATACTCTGTTAGTACATCAAAAGTTAATTCTACTCAAAATTATAGAACTTGATCAACAGCGATTTTTTTTTTTTTACAGTACTATTGAAGCATTTTCTTTGGATTTTTTGAAAATACTGCTACGTACTAAGCACTAAGTACTAACGTGGGCGGAAGAAATCACAGGTTTAATTCTGAATCGGCTGGTAGTTAATGGATTAAATTGATAGCATAACTGGGTAGATGATGCGCAAATCTTACAAAACATTTGTCGCTAATACTGAGATCTGGACTGCATTGATTGAAATAAAAAAGAATATACTTCAGAAATAAGCACCCTATATCTATGTCATAATCGTAAACTGCATGGAAAAACAGACATCATCTGCCACACCAAGAGGCAAAATTCGATAGGGAAAAACATTTTTTTTTTCTTGGCCTAATTGGTCTCATCGGAGTTTCTGCCCGGCATCGGACACTTGTCCGTCTAAGACGTGACTTCCAATAGAATTCCTCTCACGCACAAGACAAATAGCAACGCAACATACACAAATTCACAGCATAAGTAATGTAAGCAGAAGCACGTTTCGAAATGAACATGGACTTGTTTCGGAAGAACAATGATAGCCGTGGTTGTGATATTGCCAGCGTTCGCAAGGCACTGATGATGATGAAGGGTCTTCACCGTGAGCCGTCGTCCGGAGGAGCAGGCGGCGCCAGTGGTGGCGGTGGCGAGGGTGCGGGGATTAGAAGAATGCCGTTCCCACCTGGATATTTTGGTGCTTCTCGACCACCTTCCCGTCTGGAACGATCTTTGCTCCGCGGATTTAAGTACGTAAAAGTTAACACACTAAAATTAGCAAATTTTAGTTCCAGCTCGGTTCATGCAAATCAACTGAGAATTACGATGGTTAAACTAGTTTAACGTTTTCACCATATTGCACCATTGTATTAATTTCTTTCGAATAAAACGTCCCAATTGAAGCTCCATTTCGTTTTTCCTCCCACATAAAATTATTGATACTCAAAACATTTGAAAAATACTTAAAGGAAGACTCCATCGGTCGGGGACCAGACTGAATTAACGGCACAGCTGACAATCTTTTATGCTGGAATGATCAGTGTGTACGACGACGTTCCTGCTGACAAGGTAAAATCTTGTCAGTTTTCTTGTGAGTATTTGCAAAGAACGGAAACGGCAATTTATTTGGTTCTGCTACTATTTCAAAACCTTTTTTCTCTCTGAAACAGGCCCAGGCTATTATGCTTTTAGCAAATCAATGCTCTGTAGAAGTAGAACCCCTTCAAGTCCAGAATGTGACAAAAGCAGATGCTACCACCAAACCAATTCCAAGATCCAATTCACCATCACTCGCCAATGTCCCAGAAGGTAAAATGCAGAACTTTACTCCCGGAGACCTTTTCAAAGCCCGAATTTTTTAAAACTGCATGTGTTGTGTTAAAATTTGCTTCTCCATCTGCTTTGTAGACCTTCCAATTGCCAGGCGACACTCCCTCAGGCGTTTCCTGGAGAAGCGTCGTGACAGGTTGGTTCAGTTTATAATTTCTTTATATCCTTTGTTTATTGTTCTGCTGCTGTAAAAGTAAAACTAATTTATTAATCAGAGTTCCTTAAAACTTTTGATTCTTATTCTTATGCAGGATAGTAAACAAGTTTCCTTATGCTTCTTCGGACGACAGATGAAAGGGACATGGAGCTGACCATTTCCACCATTGATGGCTCCAATGATAGGAAAACTTTTTTCCTTCAACAATTAATAAAGGGCGCTATACAATTGTCTTCTTGTACTTTCACATTTATCAATTTGCAGCAGGGATCAGAGTGGGAATTAACTTTCACATTTTTCATGACAAAGTTGACGAGAAAAGAGAAAAATGATAGCCAGTTGCGCAATAGAGTGCATGATTCTCAATCCAGATTGTGGTTTGATTCACTAGAATTTGCATGTTCTTCCGTCACTTGTCTAATTCTCACGGCCTAAATAGTCCTGATTCCTTCTTTCAGGTCTAAGGCGTTCTTGTGAGAAAATTTGGTTATACTACGCCCGTTTCTGGGATGCTTTAAATTGCTTTCACTGCTAGTATTAGCTTGTCAGGAGACTGCGAATTTCAGAACATATTTACTGGGCTGAATCATAATTGTATAACCTAATCTATCCTCGCCTGCAGGGGAGGGAAAGCCTAAAGAAACTTGTATTAGGGGCTAATAGGTACACAGATCTTGGGTGCTTTGGCACCATCTTTGGAATTTTTTTGCTGCAGGTAGGATTTAAATCCCCAAACTTAAGATCTTTCTTGGTAGCCACTGAGCCAAGCTTAGTGGTTCTATATGCTATGATCTTGATTCCTTCAACTTGCATACGTTCAACATTCTAGTACAGCCTTCATTTGGATAATTGCTTGTGAGAATACTTTTAGAGTAACTGTTGTACAGCACTTGCATTGGAAATAAATGTGTAAGATTAAAACGTGATTTAAAAATGTGTTCAAAGTTTTTTTAAAATGTAAATTTAATATGATATATTATTACAATTGAATGCATCACACATGCATAAAATTTAAATTTTGATCAGTGATTATGCATTAAATAGTAATAGTTTGTGCTCCAGGGGAAGGGATGGACCAGGCCAATCTCCCCACTCTTTCATCCTGAGAATTTGAGGCAGCAGAGTGGGTGGGTAACCGCAATGGGCCGTGGCCGCTCTCGCCCCACTAAGATAGTTGTCTGATCATGCCTGTGTTGGAATAGGGGCCCAAGCCCTTCTTTTTTCTTTCATTTTAAAGGAGGTTTTATTTTTCATTTTTATTTTTAATGCTGGAGCTTCCGTCCTCCTAGGGGTGGCAATTTTCGACACGACCTGAAAACACGACACGAACCTAACACGAAATTAATGGGTTTGGGTTGAGGTTTTGGGAATTCGGGTCAGAATCGGGTTGGACCCGATGAACCCGAAAAGAAAACAGGTCGATTTCGGGTCAACCCGTGGTGACCTGATATGACCCGATATGACCCGTTTACGAATTAAAAATAATTTAATAAATATAAAAATAATTTTATCTAACTAACCTAAGTTATTCTTTTTTTTAAAGGCATTAATTACTTAATCATAAATGAATTTATTTAATTTGTGTGAAGTTGAAATTATTATATTTGGACAAATAATATATTATATTATTTTTTACTTTTATACTGTTTTAATTTATTTTATATTTTGTTTGGGATAAAACACTTTTACGGTGTTTAATTTATTTTAGATTTGGTTTGGAATTACTTATTTAAATTTTTATTACTTGATTATGTAATTAGTTTTGTGAGAAATTGATTTTATTAGAAATTACAGTGATAAATTAATAAATTAAAATTAAGTTTCGGGTCATTTCGGGTCGACCCGCCAACCCGAAATTTTCGGGTTCGGGTCAGCATACCTGACCTGTCACGGGTTAGCGGGTCAGGTTCGGGTCAACAGATTTTCTGGCGGGTTGACCCGAACCCGACCCGCCAACCTGATTTGGACCCGAATTGCCACCCCTACCTCCTCCTTTCCATAATTCCATAGTTTAGGTATCTGTACTCCAGATTCATCGTAATGTTGTTCGGAAGAACTAAATTAACCAATATAGAGAAAAATATAAAGGATTAAGAGATTTTAATAATAGATGTAAATATGCTTCTTCTCTTTTTTCCCCCTCTTGTATGCAATAGAGGTGGGCAAAATTATTCGTTAATTCGAGGATCCGCCATATCTGATTCAATTCGATTAAAAAATTAGAATATCCGATCCATATTATTTGATCGGATCAAAGGAGGGTCGGATATCTACTTAGACACAGGTACTCGACTCCCCCCCACACATATATATTTTATTTTTTTATTTTTATACACATACTATAAAATAATATTTTTAGCACTACATAAACAATTTCATTGAACAATTTGTATTACAAATATGAAAGACTATAGTTTATTTATCAAATTTATTTATAGAGGTCATGATCTTATATTTTATAGAAAAGAGTTTAATTAATGTAAAACATATATTTAAAAAAATCAGCTACTTATTTCAAACTTTTATTGATTTTGAATTCTTTTAAATATTTTTTTTTTACTTTTTCTTGTATTCTCTTCGCATGCTTGTTTCTTGATAGACAATTTTTTGAGAACAATCTTTATTAAATCTTAAATAAACATGTAAAATACAAGTATAAATTATTTTTTAAAAAAATTAAATAATAAATGGGGTGAAATGAGTATTCATTGATCCGATCCTATCTTAATAAGTACCTTATAACGAGGTACCGCTGATATGCAGAGCGAGTAAGGGTCAAAAAATTATTGATCCGCAAGGTACAAGTTGAGTTAATCAAATGGTGCACGAGGTGGATACCCGACTAGTACTCACTCCTAACATGCAAAATCGAAATATTTGTAGCACATCTATTATTGGATTTTGGACTGTGGGTAGCAAAATTCCATCCTCCTATTAGTTTGAAACTTCATTAGAAACAAAAAAAAAAAAAAATCTAAAGATTTCAGATTAATTGATTGCACGTGTTGGAACTGATGCAAGATTAAGTTTGATAATATAATTGGACTGATTAATAAGTCTTTAGTTCATAGCAAATCAGAAGCTGGAATAAAGTGTAGACAAACTTTTTGAATTGTCCCCAAGCTTTTGCTTTCAATGTAAAAAAGCATTGTTTTACATGTTTAACAACTTTTGCAAGAAATTCTTTGCTCAATAGTAGCAGTAGTGTCGTCTTTGCACGTTCATTTTCGTAAAATACTTTCCTTTTTTTTTTTGTCATTGTCCTCTCTTTCTTGGGAGGGGACCCCAAACGCCGCCAAAAGGTAACCCAATAAATAACTGGAAAAGAGGGATCCTAAATTCGAGCCGTAGTGGAAAAGTGTCCGAAGTCCAAATCCCAACAACGGCCCGGAAAGATTGCTCCAGGCTCAGGTAGCAGATCAAATCCACTCTCTGCCCGAAGTCGTGAATGCTTGTACCTGCAGCAATCCCATCCCAGTAACACGCCTTCAGCTGACATTTAACTGAAGAAATTAACTACCTCACTCAGCTACTATTACCATTCGGCATTTTCCTCCACTTTCTTCTGCTTTCTCTGAGCTGAGCTCGGTCCTCTGATGGCGATGGCTTCTTCTCCTCTTCACTGACAAACTCTCTATCTCTCTCTGAGCAAACTATACATATACAGTACAGGTGGGAGTAAATAATTATATATTTATATATATCATCATCATCAATTTTTGCCTGAAAATGACGACGGTGACGAGTAATGGAGGTTCGAATTCAAGTACTCCAAGCCCTAGCTCAACCCCAAATCTCACCAGTAGACCGGAGCTGCCACCGGTTCTCAAGAGATCGAAAACAATCTCCGACGAGACGCGGACCCCACACTTCCCTGGTCCACTGTTCCCCGCTGTTCGTCGCGTCTCTACCTCCCCTCCCTCCTTAAACAACCGCACTACCTCCGCCTCCTCCTCCGAAGTTTCTAGAGCCACCACTGTCTCCGACCAGGCCTTCAATTTTTCGGATCGGGACTATGTGTACCCTTCATTTCTCGGTCCTTACGCTACTCGAAGCCGAGTTGCCGCAAAATCTGCTGCACACAATAGTAATAGCACTGAGCGGCAGGTGACGGGGCAATTTTCGGCTCGTATGCCGTCTAATTTGAATGTGGATGTTGGTAATAGACTGGACTCCGTCCGCAGTATTGCTGCCCTTCCTCCTGCTCCTCGGCCGGCGAAACTCAAGTCGGATCCTTCCAAGCCCAAATCCATTGCCAAGCTGAAAGGTGAAAAGGATCTGAATTCCTTGTCAGTTCAAGTACCGGTTACTTCGTCTTCGTTGTCATCTAGTACGACGGCTAGTTCCAGTTCTTATAGTCCTCGGAAACCTCCCGGACATACGAGTTCTTGGGTTCTTAATTTGGTTAGTTTATCTACAGCTTTTGTCTATTTATTAAGAAGCTTTACAGTCGGTGTGAAATCTGTTCGGGGTGACGGAAACAAATTTTTTTTTAAAAAAAATGAAGACAAATGCGGCTTCCACATTTTTTGTGTATCGTCTGTAGTTTTACTGATTGAATTATTTCCTTAATGCAGCTTAAATTGATTTGTACATTGCCTACACCTTATGCAATCTACTTGCAAAATAAATTGGGTATTCTTCAGGTTCGTATCCTCATATGAAATTAGCTGCATTCACTGTCAACCCCTGCTTCCTAGTGCTCTGTTGCTATTAATATTCTGATAACTAGGGTGATTTCATTGCAGGAAGAAATTGGTGATCTTCGTAGACTATGTAGCACTGAAAGTGCTGTTGGCAGTCACAGCATTAACCTTGTGGAGTTAGGAAATGGATTTTCATTTTCGTTTTTTGGTAACACTGACAGTAGAAAGCTTGCCCTTTATATGGTTGTGTGCACACTTATCACGCCATTTTTAGTGTACAAATATCTTGATTGCGCTCCACCGATAAAGAACCCTTCAAAGGGGACAAGAGATAGCAATGAGAAGGTTCCACTGAAGAAGAGAATTGCTTATATGGTGGATGTTTGTTTCTCTGTCTATCCTTATGCAAAGCTACTTGCACTTCTTTTTGCCACACTATTTCTCATTGGATTTGGAGGCTTGGCATTATATGCTGTCAGTGATGGCAGCTT